CAGGCAATTGTTCAGCCAACCATTCGGCCAACCAAATTGCAACCATTGGGCCAGCCAAATAGCCAAATATTAAGCCAAGGAAACATTAAGCCAACCGAATAGCTAGCCATACAGTCAACCAAATAGCTACCTATACAGCCAACTAAGCATTCCGTTAACCATCCGGCCAACCATTCGGTCAACCAAATAGCCAACCCTTTGTTCAACCAAATAGCCAACTATCCAGCCAACTAAAGACTCAAAAAACCATCCATCCAACCATTCGGCAACCAAATTGTAAAATATTCGACCAACTAAATAGCCATTTATCCAGCCGTCCATCCATCCATCCGGCCAGCCAACCAACCGCCCAACCACAGGGCCAACCAGATAGCCAATAATGTGGCCCACTAAATAGCCAACCCTTTGTTCAGCCAAATAGCCAACTATCCAGCCAACTGAACTACAGACGACCATACATCCAACCATTCGGCCAACCAAATTGTAAAATATTCGACCAGCCAATTTAATATCCATCCATCCATCCAATCGGCCAGCCACCCAACCGCCCAACCACACAGCCAACCAGATAGCCCATAATTCGGCCTACCAAATAGCCAACTAAACACTCAGTCAACCATCAATCCAACCATTCAACTAACCAAATTGTAAAATATTCGACCAACTAAATAGCCAGCTATCAAGCTATCCATCCGCTTAACCTTCCGGCCAACCAAATAGCCACCCCTATGTTCAACCAAATAGCCAACTATTCTGGCAACTAAACACTCAGTCAACCATCCATCCAACCATTCGGCAAACCTAATTGCAAAATACTCAACCAACCAAATAGCCAGCTCAACAGCCAACTAAATATCCTGCCATCCACCTGGCCAACCAACCATCAGCCCAACAACCCGGCCAACCATACAGCCAATCATTCGACCAACCAAATAGCCAAATATCCAACCAACTAACACTCAGTCAACCATCCATCCAACCATTCGGCAAACGAAATTGTAAAATATTCGACCAACCAAATAGCCAACTAAATATCCAGCAATCCATCCGGCCAGCCAACTACCAACTAATTAACCAACCATCCGCCAAACCACCCGGCCAACTATACAGCCCATCATTCGACCAACCAAATAGCCAACTATTCAACCATCCATCCGGACAACCAACCGGCCAATTTACCAATCGACCAACCAGCCAACAAGCTTGCTAAATGA